TCGTGTCAGCTAATGTGACCTATATTGTTTAAAACCTTCTTATTAATATTTTTTTCATGAATGCAAATATCTGATTATTTTACGAAGAAACGTACATGTATATTGATTTTTTAATATACCGAAAATCGCTATTTCTAGGGATTGCGTAATTCTAAAAAAAAATCAAATAAATTTCAAAGGTAAATTAAACAAAGGATGCTTGATATTAAAATATTATTTCAAATCAGTAGAATCGAATGCTATTAACGACATCTGAATAAATAGGCTATAAAAGGCTTATATGCCAACTTTGGTCATCTGCACTTTAATTTTAAACACGACGGGATTTGTAATTTTTTTCTGTATAAATTAATAATCTCTACATGTATATACTTTGGAAACTCAAATGAAATATTTTAATACACTTTCCTCGAGCTCTTTTCTGCAGTTTTCCTGAAATTTTATGTGGGTCCGAGGTGTTATTTGAGTTTAACAGTGATTCTCTACGTTGCCATTAATTTGATATGTTTGTGTGTGTGTGTGTGGGGGGGGGGGGTTATTTTTATTCTTAACCTATTTAACGTTGGAGTTGAATCTTGTATATTATTCCAAGAACTTAAGATTGATTGTGACATTTGGATGAAAGGTCAAGGTCATTAAAAACCACCACCTCTTTAACTTCTAACCTGTCAACCGAAATAAACTCTGAAAGGTGTTTCTAGATACATGTACATGTACTTCATGTTTCTTTTTACCCTTGGGTCAAGGACAAAGGTTAAGGTCGATTTCAAGTTCATAGGTCAAGGTGATTTTGGAAAATAGTTAATATCAACATTTTATTCAGGTTACCAGTGACCTTGACCTAAGTTTCAAGGTCAAGGGTAAAGAGATCTGCATGCTTCAGTATGTTACATGTCTTGACATTTAGAAGTTCTTAATTCTGCATGAACATCAAACACTCAAGTATACTGTCTTTTAATACATTGTGTGCGGTCGCATGTGCATGCACGTCCATGTAATTACTTTTGATAGTAGTATAATGTAGGCAATCATTATATCTATTCATATTTGAAATTTCACCCTGTATTATTGAGAACCAAGAAAGTTGTAGGCATTTAAAGTTTTAGCCAATCAGATTGCAGCACACGTGCATGTGCGTGCGTTCATGATTATTCTTATATATCATGCTGTAGATCTTCATAATGTAAGACTATGTTCAAAATTTCAAAGGATTTTGTCAGAAAACAAAATAGATATTTAGAAGTTAAGTTTCAGCCAATCGCAGCGAAGGGCACCTGCATGCGCGTGAGATCTTGCTATTTTGACCATGTCATCATGTCTATACTACTATTATATCCTTATATTATGAGTTTCAAAGCATTTTATCCAATATTTAAAAAGTTACGGCTAAATCTATTATATTGGTCATTTCACGTGTTACACGTGCGCGCACCTGCACGCACGTGCGCGCAAAATGACCTTCGTTCCGCACATCTACATAACATACCTAGTGACCCTAAAAAGGTTTCACCTAGATCGGATGAGTAGTTTACGAGAACACTCGCGGACAAAAAGTACCGGAGAACAAAGAAAAAATTCAGAAAAAGTAAAAACAATATGTTCCCAAACTTCGTTTGGGGAACATAACTAGATGCGATCTCGTTGCGAGCAACGAGTAGGTCTTCCGTCCGAATTTTCGATAAGATGAGATATGACTTTGACTATGATCTTTGATAAAACATCATGGAATCATGCCTTTTCTCTTTTGATTAAATCCTTTTGATTTAGATAATATCATCAATGCGTACTTAATTTGCACATTAATTTTTTTCTTTTTTCTACTTTGAGAAACAACCAAAACCAATTAAAGAAAACTTGTAAGGAGACCTTGGATTATGAATGTAGTTTGACACAGAATTGCAACGAACCTACGACGTGACAATCCAAGTATCCCTACACATTTCATTGCTCCTTATGTTACTTTCGTTCAAGCAAACGCTCGGCTGCCCCTGTTAACCGCTATTGCGAAATGTCGGAATTGACAGAGACCGCCGCCATTTAGTTCCCGCTTCAGATTTTTGAATGTTAATATCTCGAGTTTGAATTTATAAATTTACAAACGAATTATATATTCAGCCTAATAAGAAATGTTTCTATCAACTATACTAATACAATTTGAAAATATTGAAAAACAAAAAAGTTAAAGACGAGAGACTTTTGGCCCCTCTATGCCCCTAATTTGAAGGACTAACCCCGTTTACTTGATATCAAATGAAAGGTCTTAGTATATTGCACATTTTTTATTATATATGTCTTAACAAAATATTAACAGGTAAAAAGATATAAAAGAAAACGTGTCAATTTTTGCGAGATGAGTATGAGGCTATTTTTCGAGCCCAGGCGAGCGTCGATGCCTTCTTACCTGGAAAGCTCTATATGCAAAATGTCACATCTACTATCCTTCCTCTACCTTCACTGAAAATCTCAAGTCGATATCTTAAGTCGTTTAGGAGGAGATCTCAGGACAAGCTGACCCTCTAAAAATCAGTAAATCGTCCATATCTCACGACCGGAAGTGACGACGTACTTACGAAAAATTTCCGACAAGGTTCAGATAAATATCTATTAGATCTGAAAATTTGGTGAGAATCGGTCCAGCCGTTTCTGAGAAATCGCGTGCACAAAATCGGTAAGAAAAAAAATAATAATAATAATAATAACTAGATACGATCTCGTTGCGAGCAACGAGTGGGTCTTCCGTCCAATTCTTGATGAGATGAGATAAGATTTTGATTGCGATTTTCATTCTAAAATAATGATTTACCACAATCTGTAAAAAGACATTAAACATTAAAGACTTAAAAAATCGGTTTTTGGCCCCTAACGGCCACTAATTTCAGGAATCGGCCCTTTTTATTCTTATCATCTTAACGACGACGGACCTAATTCATTTCTACAATAGAAAATTTACTCAAATTTTAATATGAGGTAAAGTGACTTTTTGTGAGTTAAAATCGATGAAAAAAATATATGGTCATCGATATAGATTTTTAATAGGGAGCGTTTCAAAAGTAGGCAACGAAAATCGATGATTACTATAGGAAGTAATGGGAAAATACGAGTTTGTGGTATAAAAGTGATGATTAAAAAAATTCTGCAATATCATTTTTGTTCATATTAAGATACAATGTTAACAAGATAATTTAGTAGCAAATAATGCAAAAAAATAAATAGGTCATCGGCCTAGATTTTTTAAGGGAGTGTGTCAAACTCTGGTGAATGGCATATTTTTTGGGAAAATTTTCATTGAAAATACCTTGGCAAAATAAATTGTGTCGTTTTATTTGCTTATTCTTCAATTTACTTTTACACTAAATAAAAATAATAATTTAAAGTTGTTTAAAACTCTAGGGATGGTGATAAAGTAGGATTTATGTGAAATAAATGCGTATAATACTCTAGGGATTGTCTCAAAGTACGATTTTTGTGACCCACGTCCCATGGGAATCAATATCTGAAAGCCTGATTATTTCAAAATTTAATATTTTCTTAGCATACCTGTAATTAACTAAAATACTTGTACCTTATACAGTGTTTGTCAAATTAAAAATAAGCATAGATAGTAAAAGTTTAATTATAAGGGGCTGTTTCAAGATAGGTGTTTTTGATTTATCGTTATATGCGTGCTTTACTGTGTATGATCAAATAGTCAAATACTAATGCATTCATCACGAAAATAGTACAGAAAAACAAAAGGTTCAAGGGCGACATTGCTCATCTTAGCACACTGGCTAGAGAAAAAAGAACAAAAATCACTTCAGTATTGAGAGTTTACATTGGGGGGGGGGGGGGGGGGGGGGGGGGGGCTTGAATCTAAACAACCTGATGATGCTTCCATATCAATATAACAACTGGCTTTGCTGTTATTGAGCAGATATTCTTTTAATTTATTCATTTGACACCCCCTCACACATTATGGTCCAGCCCTACCCCTGGGGCGCCCATTTGAACCAGTAAAACTATTACTACCTTAAGATTTTTATGCCTCCTTAAACGAAGTTTCGGGGGTTTATCATTTTTGTCGTGTCCGTCCGTCTGTCTTGCTGTCTCTCTGTCCGCAAAAACTTTAACCTTGCCCATAACTTTTGACTTATTGGAGTTATAACTTTCAATGGATACCAAGAACTTTGACCTTGACCTTTGAGATTGACCTACTTTAAAAAAGCAAACCTTGACCATAACTTTTAAAGAGTTAGGGCTAGTGCTTTCATACTTTACATATTTGATTCTTATGACATGACCTTTCATTTGATAACAAGAACTTTGACCCTTTGACCTTGGAGTTTGACCTACTTTTTAAAAATTGAACGTTGGCCATAACTTCTGAACGGTTAGGACTAGGGCTTTCATGCTCTACATAAGTATTCTATGTGGCAATACCTTTCATTTGATACTAATTACATTGACCATTTGACCTTGACCTTGGAGATTCTTGTACTTATTAAAAAATCTTTAACATTCGCTTAATTTCACAATTGTTTTCCAGTGAGAATACCCTACTCTTGGTACCAATAAATTAAATTTGCATTTAAGAAAAGCTTAATCTTTGCTATGTTGCCATACGGGGGCATCAGTGTTTCACAAACACATCTTGTTTCTTGGTATTTCTAGGTAAAACTTTGATCCCCTATTGTGTCCCACCTTAACCCCCTCCCCCCTGAGCTGAAATATCTATCAATTTGTAATCTGGGAATGTTTTCGCAAAATTTGACAATAATACGCCTGTGTTATTTTACTCTGAGTCTAGGCTACTATAATTGTAAAAGTATAAGAATTTCACACACAGGTAAAATACTTTATTAATAAAGTATTTCACATTTCAGGACAAAATGATGACAGGTATAATAGATTTAACTATGGAGTATCAAACAGTACCATTGGGTATCAAATACATTTATTGATGAAATATAATATACAAAAATATTTTTCTTGTATATGTTTGTTTATTATGATTTCACTCAGTCATTTTAAATAGCTACATGTATTAGCTGTTACCTTATAAACAGACTTTGATTTTTTTAACTAGTTTTTTTTATGAGATATAACATATATACACTGTACAAGTGGGATAAAACTAACCGTACACTAACTAGAGTTCCTAATTATTTCATCACATCTGTACGTATATCTAAAAAATGATTTATCTAAAATATTTTTGGGAAAGAAAAATACTGCAGTACATGCTGTTTACATGTAGAACAACACTAAAAACTTGCAATATTGTTACATATGAAAAGTTTGTAAAAATTTTCCCAGTGGCTAATCATATATTCTGGTTCTGTTAAGTTGGAGGTCTTTTGGTTGAGAGAGTAAAGGTTGGAACAGCAGATATTGGCACACTAAAGAACCCTCACTCCTCATTGCTCCCAAGTGTCATTCACTGCATCTTGTGACTTCTCATCAGGGTTAAATAATCTTGTAACATGTGTTAAGCTACAACAACCAATCCATGCCTGCAAGGTGCATTTTTGGAAATGCTGGAAATTCAAGAAAAATTCCTGACAGCGATGGGTGCTCCAATAGATGCAGCAATTTGAACTATCTGCATATTGTTGTTTCTACCTGAAATACACAAAAAAAAAACCTATGTGATATTCAGATAAATAAATAACATTCAATCAATCAATATCAAGTGTACACAATTTTTTGCATTTTGTTAACAAAGGTAAAATAAAAAAACAAGAGGCCCAGGGGCCACATCGCTCACCTGAGCAATTGGCTAGGAAAAAGCACAGATCAGATCAGAACTGAAAGTAAACTGGGAGGGGGGGGCTTGAATTTTACATCCCTCCAACAAAGGGGGTCATGATTTGAACAAACTTGAATCTACACAACCTGAGGATGATTCCCTATAAATATAACGAAGCCTGGCTTTGAAGTACTTGAAAAGAAGATTTTAAAAGGTTTCCCTATATGTTCCCATGTGATCCGCCATTTTGGCCCCACCCTACCCCCGGGGGTCATGATTTAAACAAACTTGAATCTACACTACCTGAGGATGATTCCACATGAGTTTAATTTTTCCTGACCCAAAGGTTCTTGAGAAGAAGATTTTTAAAGACTTTCCCTAGATATTCCTATGTAAAACTTTGATCGGCCATTTTGGCCCCACCCTTCCCCCGGGGGTTATGATTTGAACAATCTTGAATCTACACTACCTGAGGATGATTCCACATGAGTTTCATCTTTCCTGGCCCAGTGGTACTTGAGAAGAAGATTTTTAAAAAAATTTCCTATATATTCCTATGTAAAACTTTGATCGGCAATTTTGGCCCCACCCTTCCCCCGGGGGTCATGATTTGAACAAACTTGAATCTACACTACCTGAGGATGATTCCACATGAGTTTCATCTTTCCTGGCCCAGTGGTTCTTGACAAGAAGATTTTTAAAGATTTTTCCTATATATTCCTATGTAAAACTTTGATCGGCCATTTTGGCCCCACCCTACCCCCCGGGGTCATGATTTGAACAAACTTGAATCTACACTACCTGAGGATGATCCCACATGAGTTTCATCTTTCCTGGCCCAGTGGTTCTTGAGAAGAAGATTTTTAAAGATTTTTTCTATATATTCCTATGTAAAAATTTGATCGGCCATTTTGGCCCCACCCTAACCCCGGGGGTCATGATTTGAACAAACTTGAATCTACACTACCTGAGGATGATTCCACATGAGTTTCATCTTTCCTGCCCCAGTGGTTCTTGAGAACAAGATTTTTTAAAAATGCCATTAATTTTTCTCTAATTCATAATTATCTCCCCTTGGAAAAGGGCCTGGCCCTTCATTTGAACAAACTTGATTCCCCTTCACCCAAGGATACTTTGCAGCAAGTTTGATTGAAATTGGCCCAGTGGTTCTTGAGAAGAAGATGAAAATGTGAAAAGTTTACGACGACAACAACGCCAACGACAACGACAATGACGACAGACAACGGACAAATTTTGATCAGAAAAGCTCACTTGAGCCTTCGGCTCAGGTGAGCTAAAAACACTATGCGCCCAGAGGCAACAAAGATTTGAAAAGCTATTTTTAGCTTAAGGGTCACAGTCAAGGTCAAACTAAGGGTCATTTACCTTGGTGTCTTTTGAAAACTTAATTAGTGGATTATGCATACCAAATATGAAGTCTCTATCTGTTAAAAGTTATGGCTAAGGTTAAAGTTGACAACAGACAGACAAACAGATAAACAGACAAACAAACATACAGACAGACAGGACAAAAACAATATACGCCTCTGATCTATCGATTTATTAAATAAAAAATATATGAATAAACTGAAAGACTCGAAATAAAAATTAATATTCACACCCTAATAAAGCATATGATTAATCAGCATTGTCAGTGTACAAAGAATAAGAGAATGACTTTTAACATTTATCTCCCTTTTGAAAAAGTCATGAGTGAAGTTTTCATTTTAAAAGACTTCAAAAACATACCTAAACAAGTCTTGGGTTTTTCTTCAACAGCAGGTATTTCCTCAGTACAAGTGTCTCAGTCTGTAGATTTTTTCTGCAGTAAAAAAAATAAAACATTAAATTTGAAATGCAAAATACATTTGAGTATTGTGATCTACATACATGTACATGCATCTTAAATTTGAATATTAAAAATAGTATTATCAGTGTGATTCAGTTTTGAGTTGTTAATTTTTTAAAGCCGCGAGTGCATGTACTGTAAAAGATGAAGGCAACTTATTATTATCTTTTTTGGAGGAAAAAATTATGAATGATACACAACTATATAATAATTCAACATTTTTGCATTAAAACAAATGATTCAAGGGTTCAAATACCGTATAATCCCTATTAACCGCCCCGGGTGCTTAGAAAATTCTAAAAAGGGGGCGTTTTTTTTCGTACGCTATTTATGATATTCAATGTCATATTTTAACTTTAAAAAATCTTTTGAAAAAAAAAATAATAAATACAAGGAACCAATAAAATAATGTCTAACTTTACTTAAAATGAAGATAATCCACCAAAATTATGCTAAATTATTCATTACCATTGAAATATTGGATAATACTAGATAAGTTTAATTTTCACTTTCTTCAATATTTTGATACGATTCTTGTTGATTTTAATCACTTTACCGCCCCTGCCCCTATAAGCGCCCCCTTAGGTCTTTTCCTGACAATTGAAAAAGACCTAAGGGGGCGCTTATAGGGGCAGGGGCGGTTAATATGGATTATACTGTATATGACGTATAAGATAGCATACTGCCATACTTGATTCTAATGATTACATGTTGGTAACACAGGGGAATTGCCAACAACACACATGTAAAATCTTTAAAGAAGTTTGCTAGTTTAATTTCATTGCTATACAGGAAAATTTTATCAATGATTGAATGAAGCTAGCACAAAATACATATATTTAAAAATAAAGTGATCAGCCTGTTTCAACATTGCTGGTGATTCATCTCTAAGCAGGTAAATAGCCAGGTTTATCTGCATGGCTTTATATTTAAGCTTGATTGAATATTCTTTGAGAATTAAGTATGCTTATAAATTAACTCGGCTACTCTAATAAGGCATTTTGCTTAACATTTACAACCATAATGCAATTGCATCCGTAATCTTTAACATTTTTACATAGACCTAAAGATGCATTTAAATGAAATATATTCAACAATAATAATTAAACATAATGAATAAATGCAACATTTAGCCTAAAACAAAAAATCTAAATATGGTTACCTGTTCCAAATGAAATACTGAATAGTGTTGATATCACATCAGAAATTTCAAGCTTTGGCAGCTGTTAGGTCCTGGCATTCCGGGCTCTTGTTTTCTCCTTCATTTACAAACACTTTTATGTTGATTTAGCATCATGCACGTTTAGTTCATCTTTAGGACGAAAAGGCAACGTAACAGACATTATTCAGAAAAAGATCTTTCCTTACAAATCATCTCCATCAGAAACATCAACTTGAACTTATTGACTCGGGCCATGGCCCAGAATCCGCTCTACAATCGTATCGATAATGAGAGACAGGGGGTCCTACATTTGGCCGTAGTTTATGACGATGTTTGTACTTGCTGAACTTCATTTTTTAATGAAAAACGAAGCTTCAAATGAACAAAGTCACCCTTACAGGCGAGTCAGGAAAGTCATCAACATCACAACACGTTTTTGTTTACTCGCCATGCGCTTATGGCAAATGTCGTAAAATAATCATTTACTTATAGAATCAACAAATGAATGTAAATCGAACTTGTGTAAAATATTTTTGAATTGGGAATAAAGGTATGAAACTCTTTGTAAACATTAAAAAAATGTATATCAATCATCTTTAGCAATACATAATTACGTCAATCTGATTCAAGGCAGATGCGCGACTTCCTGCGCAGTGGCGCGAAATTTCGAATTAGGTCTGTCGTCCTTAAAGCTTATAACATTTTAAACATTTTTTGCTCAACAACTATTCAGAAATTCTTTTTTGTTTTTGAGCTATTAGCAAAAGAAATATTTAGGGGCCAACCCTTCAACTCCCTAATGGGGACGTTTAGCAAAAAATGAAAGGGTGCATATTATTCAGGACATTATTTTGAACATCTTTTGTTCAATATTGCTTATCAAAATATTTCTCCCTTTCGAGATGTAAAGCATCAAAGATTTAGCATTCTGGCCCGTTTTGGCCCCTAATTATGTACCATACGACATAAAAACCATAATATATAGTTGAAGATTGTTGAGATAAACATCTTTGCTTCAGTAATGTATTACAAAATATTAACTGATAAAGAGTTATCGAAAAAAGACTTTTGGCCCCTCTCGGCCCCTAATTTGAGTGCCCAGCCCCTTTTTCTGGATCTCATCTTAAAGATCTTAAGATTTTGAACATTTTTTGTTCAATAACTATTCAGAAATTCTTTTTCGTTTTTGAGCTATTAGCAAAAGAAATATTTAGGGGCCAACCCTTCAACTCCTTAATGGGTACGTTTAGCAAAAAATAAAAGAGTGCATATTATTCAGGACATTATTTTGAACATCTTTTGTTCAATATTGCTTATCAAAATATTTCTCCCTTTCGAGATATAAAGCATCAAAGATTTAGCATTCTGGCCCCTTGTGGCCCCTAACTTTGTACCATACGACATGAATATCATAATATATAGTTGTAGATTGTTAAGCTTAACATTTTTTGTTCAGTAATATATACCAAAATATTGATTGTTAAAGAGTTATCGATTAAAGACTTCTGGCCCCTTTTTGCCCTTAATGTGATGAGTCAGCGCTTTTTTCTTGGTATAATATGAAAGATCTCGATGTTCTGCACAAATTATGTTCAGTATGTTTTAACAAAATATTTATACTTTAAAAGATATGATACGAAACGTCTCAAAAAATCGGTCATGATTCGTGTCCTAAATTTTGACCCCTACCGAGCTCCCATACTAGGCACTTCCGGAAAATATCCTGACCCAGGTGCAATATGGCAGCATGTCCTCTATCATCACTAAAAATTTCAGCTTTCTAGCTTGAGCCGTTTTTGAGTTCCATCACAGACAAGGAGGTCCTCTAAATTTCGATCAAAGGGCGATAACTCCCGACCGGAAGTGAATTTCAAAAAAATGATTTGCCGGAATTAACTTCAGATGACAACGCATCGACCATGAAAATTTGAAGCAAATCGATCGAGCCATCTCCGAGAAATCTTCTGCACAAATTTTGTAAGAAGAAAAAAGAATAAAAATAATAATAATAAAGGTAAAAAAGAAACCGAAGAATAATAGAAGGGTCTTCCGCTGAAGACGGAAGACCCTAACTAGACGAGCTTGTTGCAAAGCAACAAATAAGTCTTCCGTCTAATTCTGAAGACGATGATATCGAGATTGATAGACATTTACGGTTATGTGTGCAAAAAACGAGCCATTTACAAATACTTCCGGCTTGACCGGAAGTGACGGTATTTTAACCACTTTAAATGATCTCTGCCTCTGCTATTTATTATTTTGAACAACTTCCCTTCTATGATGCATAACAAATTGTCAACACTTTTTGAGATATCACATAAAACGTTTTGGCCCCTCTAGATCCTTTATTTTAGGGGCCAGCCCTTTTTCTTGGATATCATTTGAAAGATCGTGCAATTCTACACTTCTTTTGTTCTACATGTTTTAACAAAATATTTCTAGGTAAGAAGTTATCGTAGAAAAGGTGTTAAAAATTTTGAAATTCTTGGTAGGACTATTTTCGGGCCATAGCGAGCGCCGACGTGCTGCACTTCCGGAGAAAAAGATTGGTGTATGTCACATCAGTACATGTTGCTCTATCATCGCTGAAAATTTCATGCTTCTGTGTTAAGTGCTTTCTGAGAAAACTGCCGGACAAAGTGACCCTCTGAAAATCACTAAATCGCAAAAATCTCAAAACCGGAAGTGACGTCATCAAATCAAAAAATTATATATCAGATTTGCTTGATGTTCTATTAGTCCTGAAAGTTTCATGAAAATCGATCGAGCCGTTTCCAAGAAATCGCGTGCACAAAATCGGTAAGAAAAAAAAACAATAATAATAAAAATAGTGGAAAAGAAACCTAAGAATAACAGTAAGGTCTTCCGCTGAAGACGGAAGACCTTAATAATAATAGGGAAAAAGAAACCGAACGAAAACAATAAGGTCTTCCGTTGGAGACGGAAGACCTTAATAACTAGAAACTCTTGTTGCTACAGCAACAAAGAAGGTCTTCCGTTCTCCTCTATTTATCTGTAAGAAGGATATTTTTCTATTTAAGTAAAAAAAACAGACAAATAAAAAATAGACAAAATGCAAAAAAAAAAAAATCCTCCAGCTGGGCTCGATCCCAAAACCATTAGTGTGAAAGTCGGACACGCTAACCACTGAGCCACCAAATTCCACAACATTTAAGGTATTTTGTAAGCTTATCATTTTAAGGTTGAAGGAAATAGTTTCAAAGTGAAAGAAATAGTTTCGTAGTAAAGTCCCGGTCAAATTTCTTTAAAAATTGAGATATTGGCTGTTTGACGTGATATTGTATGTAGGAAAATGATTAGAATAATTATGGGACACATTTGCAGTGAAGCAATGACACTTAGCATATACAGAGTTGTAAAAGCGAAAGTAACACACGTGGTCAGTTGCAGAGGAAATTCCAAATCCCGGAAAAACAGTGAATGAGTCATGGGCATTTTTTCAACACCATATCGTATCAAGCGGGGTACTCAGTAACTGCAATTAACCTATCTCAATTGCGTGGAAATTTAATTGATATGAAAAATCGTCATTTCCGAGTTTCAGCCGATTCATATTTAAATCTAAATAAAATTAAAATAAATTCCATACACCTAAGAAGGCAAGAATACTTGGTATTAAAATGTCGTAATGGAGCAGAAGAATCGAATGATATTAACAATAATTGCAGAAATAGCCAATACGAGTTTGAATTAATTTTTATGCTAAGCAATAACTTAATTTCAGACAGAAAAAAAAGTACAGATTTTGCCGATATTAACTAGAATTTCAAAATACTTCAGAGACTCACCTTAAAACTCTCAGAACACTTTCTTTCAGGTCTCTTCTTTCTTTTATTACGAATCTTATGCCGATATTTCGTTTCGTTTGACTTGTAGACATTTTCTCTAAGTTGGTATTGATTGTTTTGTTTTTTTTTTAGAGAAGGGAGGGGATATTTTATAAGGATTTGTTAGAGTAAGAGTTTCAAATACCTCCACGACTGTAAGCTTGATTGTGACCTTTGGGTCAATGGGGCCAAAGAACAAGGTCATTTATCAAGGTCAAAGGTCAAGGTCATCAAAGAGAGAGAGAGAGAGAGAGAAAGAGAGAGGTAAACTTGAGATAAACACTTGAAGCTGAATCTAGAAAAAGGTAATGAATATTTCTTTATTACTTTTTGAGTAAGGGTCAAAGGTCTCATTTTGAGGTTTCTCTAGACATTTGCAGTCTGAATAACATGTCCCAAAATCATTTCAAATACTCTTTTTATAAAAGATATTTATGGGATAGTAAGAAACTCAATTTATGCAGTTTTTCTCTCATAACCGGAAGTCGTCGTTTTTGTTTCCAATGGGACTGACATATTTCAAAACTATTAGTAAGAAGCTATAAGGTAATACTAATTAAGAAAGATTCCATAAAGAAAAGTTTAAAATTTTGATTTATTTGATCACTTCCTGTGACAACCGGAAGTGACGGTGGATGATCTTAAACTCAAAGGATTTGTCTACTCATCAAGGTCTACCACCCCTAGTAGTTTGGTGTCTTAATCTCTTACCGTTAACGAGATCTAGTAATGATAACTTCTGATTTTGAGGACGGGAAGTCTCGCGACTGGAAGTGATTTTTACTGAGATATTAGACATTACTGTAGACATTTGCAGTCTGAATAACATATCCAAAAATCATTACAAATACTTTAACTATAAAAAGTATTTATGGGAAAGAAAAATATTCAAATTATATAGTTTTTCTCTTTTAACCGGAAGTTGTCGATTTTGTTTCCGGTGATACTATCATATTTCAAAACTGCAAGTAAGATGCTAAAATGTGATGCAAAAAAGTTTCATAAAAGAAAAGTTGAAATTTTTGATTTTTTGATCACTTCCTGTGACAACCGGAAGTGACGGCGGATGATCTTATCCCCAATGGTTTTGTTTACTTATCAAGATCTACCACTCCTTAAAGTTTGGTGTCTTAATCTCTTACCGTTTACGAGATCTAGCTATGATAGCTTCTCATTTTGAGGACAGGAAATCACGCGACCGGAAGTGAATTTTACAAAGATATTTGACGTTGCTGTAAACATTTGCAGTTTAAATAACATATCCAAAAATCACTACAAATACTCTATCTATAAAAAATATATATGGGAAAGAAAAAATACTCAAAATATGCAGTTTTTCTCTTATAACCGGAAGTTGTCGTTTTTGTTTCCGGTGAAACTGACATATTTGGAAACTACAAATAAGATGCTATAATGTGATGTAAAAAAAGTTTCAATAAAGAAAAGTAGAAATTTTCGATTTTTTTGATCACTTCCTGTGACAACCGGAAGTGACGGCGGACGATCTTAACCCAAATGGGCTCGCCTACTTATTAAGATCTATTACTCATATAAGTTTGGTGTCTTCATCTCTTACCGTTTCTGAGATATGACTGGGATAAAATCTTTTTGAAAAAAGCGGAAATCGGACAAAACTGACGACCGGAAGTGAATTTTGAAAAAATGAAAAAAACGCCTGAGCGTATTTTTATTCTCTATCATCCCTGAAAATTTCAGGAAAATCCGTCCAGCCATCT